CCCCCAGCCTCCAGCCAGGCTGGAGAGTCACGTGACAGGCACTTTAACCAGATAGCCCCGGGGCGCAACCGCAGTTCTTTGCATTCAAAAAGCTACTTTGATATTTCTTCTCTTCAGCTTACACTCCCTTTCCTCGGCAGCAGAGCTGAATAAAAAGCTTGCCGCTGAGCTGGACCAACACACAGCATGCAGGTCAGGGGCCATTCCATGAGAAAAGAGCTTGTGTCTTTAGAGAACACTCCACTTCTTTTTTCTGAGATACTGCTTCGCTACACACTATAAAAAAGACCCAAAGATAAGCCATCTTGAAATAGAAAGCTGTTTAGAAAAATAAAAGCTTTCTTTTCTAAGATACTTAGAAAGACAAAGCAGAAAGTGGACTTGAATTTCTAGCTGCAAACTGAAAATCACTCCGCTTCCTTTAAGGTCAAGCTGAAAGTTAAACACCTCGGGCTCGCGTCTGTGTTAGTACTTGCCCTGAGCTCCGCAGAGCTCTGAGAATACTTGCAGGATACAAAACACAGAAGTCAGAAGGCTAATAGGACCAACCAAGGAAACGGCTCTCAGGGAGGGAGCCCAAAACTCCAGTCCCACCTGCACCTCTGTCTTCCAACCCCAAATCTCTGTTACATGTGTCTCTGCACACAATTTGTGCAAGATGTAAGCAGCCTGGGATGTTTTGCTGCCAATGTCTGTCTATGAAGGATGATGAAAGGTAAAGGAAACTTGCCTGTCACTTTCTAAATCACTGTAGGATCAAGAGCACAATGGAAAGAGGAAATCAGCTGACCTGTAAAACTGAGCTGTCTACTGAGAAATACAGTGGAAGAATTCCGTAACACAGGCTTCTCTAGTTTCTTTACGGCTCAGTCTATGGCTAAAGTAAATATATCAGGGGTGCCAAAAAAATGTACACAAGTGGACACTTCGGTCAACGTTGCTCAAGCAGCAGTTCGCTGTAATCAGAAGTGTCTGGACGCTGATGGTAATCACTCTGAGCACCTCTTGTAATTGTAGAAGTCAAACGGGACTTGTATTCATCTTTTGTTATTGGTATAGATTGAGATTTAGAATTGTAATACAGTTTTCCTTTCTTAAAATGTGTATACATTGTTTTGGCACCATCTGTGTATATATGAGTATAATAGTGAGAGTCAGGTCGACGGCCTAGCCAACTCAGCATCTTCCAGCTGCTGCAGGCATGAGCCCTGGGAACAAGCACGACCCTCATCAGCCTGACTGCCTCCTCTGCACGTAGACAGAGTAAGGTGGAGGTCTGATTTAACATGCTGACAGAGGTCAGGGTCAGGACTCAGGTGAGCTCAGAGAGGCACGTAAGGTGTGAAATTGGAGGAAGCACGTTTGCTCCAGCACTTACGCAGCCCTGAAGGCAGTGCCTCCTTAGACCCTAGTGCCTCTCTTGCCTCACCCTTCTCCCTGCCCAGATGGCTCATCTACCCAAGAAAATCAGAGGGAACCAGCAAAAGAAAACCAAACCAGAGCCATAACTGCTGAGGCCTCTGAAGGAGAGGTGACAGGATGGACCTACAGTGGGTGAAGACAGAGGCGAACGACGCGGCTCAGCATCCGAGTGGTAACAGCACACCCCCTCTGCCCACCCTGCCACCTACTGGGCTGTTCTTGCTGCCTGACATTGTTTCTGAAGAGCCACAGAGGAGAGAGCGGCAGGTTCATAAACCACCTAGCTCGTCACATCTTTATATCATATTTCCAAGAGGCCCCAACAGTGTCTGTTAAATAGTCTCAGTATCACCAATGTATAGGTCGCCTCTTCTAAGGCGAGTTGTGCATGTTGAGGCTGACACCTGTTTTGTTTCTCTGCTCTCCTCCCAGGGGAAATTTTTCATAGTTAGAAATCAATAGAGGATTTAGGACATCTCTTTGCTACACTGTCGAAACGTTCTTTCCCGCGTGGTTGGTCACACTGAGAAAGGGTCAGTATGGAAAGAACTGCTGACTCGACAGTTGGATCACCAAATGGTAGCTTTTGTTTTTTTAAATGAGTTCTCTGCTGCAACTTCAATAAATTATTGAGAATATGAACTTACGTTAAAGCTTCTGAGTAATTATAATGACGAGAGACTCCTAGAAACTTCTGGACTTCATCCATCACTGTAGCAGGATCCGTTCTTAGCTGTTGCCCATCAATAATTAGCAACTAAATTACCAGGGAAAGAATTAAAAAAAAGACAATGCATGTTGACAAAAGGCATGCAACTATAATAAAAAATCTCTGCACTCCGAGTTTATTCAGCGACAGACACTGTGCTCAGGGGATTTGCACACACTGCCCTCAGGCTCAACCGGGCCACCTTCATTAGTGACCCAGGACAAGACACATCACACGACCTAAACGCACTTGTGTTTTGTAATCTGCAGCCATTTGGAGGGACTAGGAGAGCTTAAGAAACGTGGCTATAAAATCACAAATGGGAACCAAGTTTTAAAAACTGACCAAACATCGATTCCATCATTGAAGCTGGGAGGGAGCACTGCAGAAATGAAGAAAGGTTCTGATGATGCCACGTGTAATGAGACAGAGGACAGGTCACCCTCCACGAGTCCAGTCAAAGGAGGAGAGCTTTCAAGTTTTAAGAGGTACTTAAGAGATAATTTAGAGAAAATGGTAAGACTTCCAGAGGCCTGTATGTGGACTCAGTGAAGAGCTTGCTCGGTACTCTGGTGAGGAAGGGGGTGGACCCAGCAAGGGAAAGCGACAGCAGGTGGTGGTGGAGGCCCCCACACCTGCCACTGTCGCTCGCACATGTCTAGTTAGTCCAGACTAGCGTTATTCGATAGAAACTTCCTGACGATGGTCGTGTTCTACAGCTGTGGCATCCCAACAGGTGGTTACTGAGCATTGGAAACATGGCTAGTATGGCTGAGGAACTGAAATTTTAATTTTGTGTAATGTGAATACAAATTTAGACGGCCATAGCTGGTAGCGGCTATCGTCCTGGACAGCACAGCTGTGGACAGAGGCAGGCGCCAGTTCGGTGTAACGGGGTGTTTGAGGCAGTCCACTAGGAGCTGGCTTGGCAATCTCGGTAGATGCCAGGCACAGGGGAGACGCGAGGAAGGCAAGGGAAACTTCAGCTTATGAAAAATTCAGCAAGGTGGTTCAGAGGGAAATAATGGCACTTAATTAAGCAAAACAATATTTGCCTCGTTTGGTTGAGAGGCTCTCAAGCTTTATTCTCAGAATAAGAATCAAGGGTATGAAGCTTTTAAAGCTCTTTACAATCAGGAAGGGTATGCACTAGAAAATGGAGCAGGGAGAATTAGCTCGAAATACTGTTAGAAAGAAAATTAAGTGGTTTTTCTGTCTGCTTATCTATTATTCCGTGCCACACTCTCATTATTTACAACTAAAGAGTAAAACCTAGTGATGGTTCAATGAGTGGAAATTTCCTATACCCTAGAGGTAGAGCCATCCATGTATGAGATTGTGACATGATGTAAATTCTTACTGCTCCATACCTGAAACGGGGGGAAGTAAACAAGCCATCTCTCGATGTGGCTGGCGTACCACCCTGGGACCAAACACCTCCTCTGCAAGGCTCGGAGCTCGGCAGGGGCACGGGGCCCTGCGGAGATCACTTGGTAGAAGCTGAACTTGAGAGCCACAGGGTCTTCATGCGATCGCTGATGCTGTGAGGAAGAGGTGGGTGATTAAACCAACTTGAACCCCAGGCATAACTAATCACAAACCAGTCCCTGGGACAAGTCTCCAAGCTTGGGGAGTGCCTCACTGCTGGAGAGTTACTTGTTTTGCAGTTAATAAAGGGGAAACACATGTTTGCTTGGAGCACCAGGAATTAAAGCAATGAGGAGAGTATATTTTTGAGAATCAGTTGGTGGAGGCTGAATTCTCATTGCTAGGATTGCATAACATCTTTACAGAGACGTTTTCTTCATATATATATTTTATTCTGAAAGTAAACTTTTGAAGGTTGCATGAATACCTCCTTGGAGCCCACAAGCAAACCATTTATCACGTGCAGTGGGTATCATAAGGCACAGGGATGCCACTCGTCCTGCCCATAGCTCCGCTTCCCCTACTGAGGCTCTACAGCAGTGGTTCTCAACCTTCCTAATGCCGCGACCCCTTAATACAGTTCCTCATGTTGTGGTGACCCCCCCAAACATAAAATTATTTTCGTTGCTACTCTATAACTGAAATTTTGCTACTGTTATGAATTGTAATGTAAATATCTTTTTGTTTTCTGATGGTCTTAGGCGACCCCTGTGAAAGGGTCGTTCTACCCCCAAAGGGGTTGTGACCCACAGGTTGAGAACCGCTGCTCTACAGAAAAGCCCTGCTGGCTCTGTGCAGGGAGCTGCTGAACACCCTGATGGGAACATTATCTGAAGCCCCAGCTTTTATCAATACACCCAGCGTCTAAAAGCCCATGGCATTTTACCTAACGGTAACCTTTGCGATGAATCAGAATCGTTGATTGTACAGAAAATGCAAAAAGCAATGCAAGTAGAAAAGTGTTCTATAATGGCTCAGGCTGGGCCGCCGGCTTTGAGGAAACCTTTCCCCTGAATCGACCAATACATATTCAGGCTCTGTGGTGGTTTTGTGGATGTTTACCACATCTCCTGAACAGCAAATTTGGTGCAATTGAGATTCAAATTACCTGCCCGCACGCTCCACTAGGCTTAGTGCAGGCCTGCATTTGGCCGCTGTGAGTGATTTATTTGTAATATTTAGGACATTTTGTTAGCTTGCAGGCTTCAAACCTCCCTTTCCAGTAAAGTCTCAATTTTTCAGGGGCTAAGTGGCTGCCAAGCTCCAATTTTCTTCTTTCTCTTTGAGTCAATTAAGGCTCATTTCTCTTTTCTGCAGATACCTGGTGGAAAACGTAAAAGGCTCCAAGTCAAAGCCGTCAATTTGCAATTTGCTATATGTTTCGATTTAAAAGATGGCTCTAGGAGTTTGGCGTGAATGAGCAGTGTGCAGTCGTGGGTTTCAGCTTTCCAGGATGTGTCGCTCCCTAGGAGGCAGATAATTATCCTTCTGCCTACCTGAGACCCCCCTGCTTCCTCTGCCCTCTCCCCACTGTCCCAGCCACACCTTTCCTGGCAGCGTGTCTTTCCTCTTAAACCTGGAAAAAATGCTGTGTTAGATAACAAGAGGACCCAAGGCTGGGAAACTTTATTCTCTGATATCACAGAGTATCAGGAATTTCCCTGTTTGAAGTCCTATCATGCGAATGGAACGCCCCTCTTGCCTGGAGGCTCAGAGCTGTGGGGATCGCTTTAATACAGAGAAACAGCCTTATTTCCACCTAGGTGCAGAATTTCAGATCAGGGGTTTCTAGACACAAGTCGCCACATTTATCTCAACTTGATAGTTTCCAAGGAAATAGGACCCTTAGTCTGCCTCTCAGCCCTGACCCGCTGATAACCCCCCCTTACTCATAGCCCTGCTTTGCGCCTATCAAAACATTTTCATTTTGCCTAAATTTGTCCCCTTACAAGCCCTCCCTTTTTTAGGGCAATGCCCTGTCACCCCTCTGCTGTTCGGGCTCCCCCGTGGCCGCTGACTGGTCTATCTAACGGGCATCCCCAGTGGTCTGTAGCAGATGGCTTGTCCCTCCGAGGGGGCCATGTCACTCAGTGTTCCCTGCTGTAGAAACTGCCTATTCACACCTATTTCTCCAGTGAGACAGAAAGCAGCCTCGCGTGTAACATCCATCAATCTATCTTCACAGCACGCTTATGACGACCCCTTGCCCATGGTGGTCACTAAAATGGATGGACGAATGAACACATGAACATGAGGAAAGCAGTTTTAAATGATAAAACTGAGGGGTAACTAAGGAGCCTAGAGTCCATGGACATTGACTATTCATTTTATGTTCTTATATTTAATTTTGACTCCTTCTTATTGAAACTTTTCAATGTTTGGTGATTGAGGTATCACTGAAACAAGGATTTTTTTCTATTATTGTTAATGATTTATTAAAGCAAAAACATATTTGATGTATCAGTATTATTATGAGAGCCTCTTAAATTATTTCAAAGTGTTCATTTCTGTGCTAGGTTGTAACCGACATCAGAAACAATGGCAATGTTTGTATGAGGAAGAGGCAGGGGACAGGGTTTAGACTGGCTGGTCTTCCAAGGACGAAGAATTCTTATGTTTAGTTTTTTATACTCAGTTATTTGTTCAGTACAAATAGTTAGTTAAGCTCTTTTAGAGTTGGAGTCATCAATCTAAATGGGTTAAATTTGGCTTGCCACTGGTTTTTGTAAATAAAGTTTTATTGGAACACAGCTAAGCTCATTTATTTACATATCATCTGTGGCTGCTTTCCAAATCCAATGGCCAAATTACAACAGACCAACCACACAGCTTGTGAACCCTGAAATACTGACTCCCGGGACTGTGACTGTGGCTTTGGGGAGTCACTTATATTCCTCATCCGTAAAGCTGAGATAATAACAGCAGCATCACACATGTTTTAGATGGAAAATAATGATTTAAAATTATTATACGATTTTACTTTTAAAATGCAGGTACATGGAAACACACATATACATTCAAGTATATAATATTTTGTTATATTTAATTTAATCTCTTCATTGCATTGAAGCATTTTATTGGGTTGTCGGAAAAGTCATGACAACAAAAAACAGAAAAATACATCATGACTTTTCTGACAATCCAATATTTAGTAAATTAAATGAGTACAGAATTAATAAAACTGTAAGGAGAAAGTTTCTCCATGGCAGCAAAGAAAAATGTATCCACTTTTCTGCAGATATAAACTAGCAAATCTTCCTTTTTGTTGCAACAGTGGGTGGTGGCTGCTTCTGCCAACCATCCACCAGTCTCCATACTCCCCTCCACCTGCTGGATTCTGTCTGTACCTCCCTTACCTGGTACCAGGAATAGGCTCGGTCCGCCGGGTCAGTGAGGATAGTGATGATCTTGGCTTTCGGGAGCAGAGAAGCTGCTCTCCTTGGTGCCTCCTCTGAGTGGAAGTAATTGGCACTCTTCTCAAACAGAAAGTCAGTGGTGACATTGGAGGGGACCGGGAAGAAATCCATATACCTAGAAAAGGAGTATTTCTCAGAATAAGGCTCTGGTTTATACTCAGTCCCCGGTGACCGAAGATATTAGAGGTCCTACGAATTTATTATTTTCCTAAACAAAAGCCTTTTTCTTCAAGGCATTTGTCCCACAAAGGTTTTGGCAAGACAAAAATGCACAGAAAACTTAATAATGTATTTTGAAAATGCTTTTCCACATACACACTGTCTCTTTGTTTTGCTTAATATCAAGAAAAAAGATATGAGAGATAAGAAAAATGTAGACACAGAGTGATCAAACTCCAAGCAGAGAACAAAAGGGCTTCTTACATTTCACAATGATGGCCTCACCCTCTGCCCCCACCCTCTTCAGTTCATAAGCCACCATGACTTTGGGCTACCCAGACCAGGTAGTTGGATAATTACTGAACAAGAGACTCGTTGACATCTGTGTGATGAGTTTTGGCAGTGAATTGTTTTCTTAGTCATCTAACACCATGAAGCTTCTGTTAGGATTCCAGTTAACACACTGCAAAGTTTGGTTGGTACAGCAAACAGATATATTGAAACTCGGGACAGTAAATACATCTTTTTATATTTCCTGGAAATCTCCTTGTTGGTGATATGTCATTCGTGCATCCTTTTAGGGGGACACAGATATATAGGAGTTTCTGGGGTGTTTGACCTGCTATCTCTTTGGTGTATGTGCTGTTTATGGAAAGTGCCACGTTTCTGGATGCTTCTTAATGTAGATGGCCACACTGGTTCCGGGGGTGCTAAGGTTACCCCGGGTGTTTAATGCTATCTTATTTGGTCCAAGCTTGTCTCAAGTTTGCTTATTCTGAGAAAGTCTCCACAAATCACAAAAGAAGGGTAGAAGGTGCTGGATTCAGACAGCTTGTAGTTTCTAAACACTGGCCCACCATGCTGGCAGTCCTCTGTACTTGGAACAGCTAAGGCTGTGCAAACCTCTCCAAGCAGTTCTGGGTCTTGGACCGATACTGGGCAGCTTTTCCTGGGCCCCAGAGGCTCACGAGAAAGCAGGGGCCAGTGTCTCTTCGCCTGTGTCCACATGTTTCTAGTACAGTAGTTGGCACTTGAAAAACATTTGATGGTTAAACAAGTGAATGATAGAATTCAGCTTCGTATTTCCAGGGTGGGGAACAGGCCCATGTCTGGAGAACATGAATTTAGGTTATCCCAAGAATTGGTGCAAAAACACAACTGGTTTAACAGTTTGGGCTTAAAAGTGCTTGCCTCATTTAAGCTTGCTACCTCCATAACACCTCAGACATTTTTTTTTTAACTGAAAAATGTGATTTTTGCACTACTCCACGTTTATTTGGTTCCTGGATTGACCCTGAGTATTTCTAAGTGATTTACTCAAAGCCACACTAAGATATTCAGGGGCCCTAAGTGCTAACAGGATTTTATGGCTGCATGTGCCACTCCAACCTTCCGCCACATCCCTGAGAAATTATAAAAATCAATTATCAGACCGTACGATGTAAAATTTAACTGCAAAATTGATTTTCTTAGAACCTCTGATTGCATGTCTTGGCTATTGTATCAAAGATGGAGTTTTCTAAATTTCATTTGCCCTTTTTGCATGTGCCCTGAGCCTGTGTTTGGGCCACCAGTTGGTTACTGCAGTCCTGGTGTCACCCAGTTCCCCAAGAAAAGCAGGTGCATGTATGCAGATGAACTAACTGTGCCTGGGCTGACTCTGTAAATGATTTGGCACTTGGACACGTGTCATCTCCCACATCGGGGCTCTGTGGTCCCAGAGGGACTGCTGGGGTGCCCGTGCTTGATGGACAGGCGAGGCCAGTGAGGGCTCTGCATACATTCCATGTCGGTGAGAGCAGAGCTATGGTTATTGCTAATAGATTGACATTTGCAGTTATTGTTATTTGTTATTTGTGTTAATTGCCTTTTATAAACCTATCAAATGTGTTTGCAATTGGGGTGTTTTTAGTGAGTTATAATTAAAATTTTTAATTGCTCTTTAACTTTCTGCTTACGTGTGTCATCTTTCTGTAAACTGCTTAAAGGACTCCCTGTCCCTTTCATTGAGCCTGTACCCAGAACTGGCTTATGAACAGTTTTCCTTCTTCTTCTTTTTTAAATTGATTATTCTCATGTTCCAGGGAATCCAAGTATTGCATTCCTCTCCACTTCTAAAGGGTTTTTAATCACTCCTTTTAGTCCTGTGTTGACATCACTGTATTCTAACTGCGTATGTATTTGAGTCAGTGATCCATCAGCAGCTGAAGTTGCTGCTGGTGTCTGGACCCTCCCAGCCATCATCTAACAGTACACAGTGAATCAGCGTCGAGCACTGTACTGAGGATAGGGCAGTGAAATAAACAGAGAGGGCGCCATAAAGTGTATGCACATTTTAAGAAAGGAAAAAACTGTACTAAAATTGTAATAGTCAATATATACTGATAACAAAAGATGAATACATTTTTTTGGCATCCCTGGTTTTTAACAATATAACAGTTACAACACGTGTCAATCCAGCAGATTATACTCAGATTATACTCAGCCCATGTCTGTATCTTTATTTCGACAACCCACAAGCAACTCTTGAGGGGTTGACACTTTTAAAATTGAGTTCAGGCAATTGGCAGCAGAGGTTAACAAATAACAGCGCTTTATGCTAAAACACATACAGAATGTTTATGTTCATGCTCTAGAATTATTAAAAGAATTCTGCTCTTCAATACCACTTTCTGCCCAGAACTTATACCATAACAGTGAGACTTCTAGATTCATTTTATGATTAACGTGTTTGCAACTTCTGTTCATGCTACATTACCATATTTTGTGTATATTTCACATTTTAACTTTGAATTTTATTTTAACTATTTTCCTTGGATGGTTGATATATTTCTAATTTTAATTCAGGGTGAAAGTTAAATTTTGTATATTGTTGATATCTTTTTTATAGCTTTCATTACTCGTGAAATATATACACATTTCTAGTTCTATTGATTTACCTTTTATGCCAAAGTAAAACAGAAAATTGTATGTATATGTGGATGGTAGCAACATGTCAATGCAAACTGCATAAGAAGAGAAAGCTATGAAAATATTTTCTTAAGAGTAGAGAGGAATGAAATTCCTGGATATTACAGTATTTCTCTGACTCCATATCTGTAATTGCCATCAAATATAATTAATGCAAATTGCAATTACATGTGTGCCTCTTGAGGCGACAAGTCCCTTCATAAACTGAGAAAAGTTTGGTATGAATAATTTCAATGCTCCTTCATGTATTCAATTTCCAAGGCACAGAGATAACATTTATTTGTGGCTACAAAGTTATAAGTTTGTAAATGTCAGCACTAATTTTACACTCTGCACAGCACATATACTTTTAGATTTATACTAATAACCCATCTTACCAATCAATCCCCCTGTGGTAGTTATTTCTATTAAAGAACTGTACCTCCTCAAGGGTTTTGGGGCTGGGGGGGTTACTAAGGATGGAAGGATGCATAACCAGGAACAGATACAAAGCAGTGGTGCCTGAAAAGAAAGCAGAGGTTTCCAGATTAATGACACGAAAACACAGTCTCCTACTATGAGCATTTCAAAGTCATTACTAAACCAAGTACTGCAATGGTCCAGGAAGATACACATTTAAGTACTCCTTGAATTAAATTGAAGAGATAACCAGCATTTGAAAAGAAGCAGATTCTACACAGAGCTAGTGTGATGGGAGGAGAGGCCCGGGGCTGGGACCGGGACCACTGGCTTTTGACTCCGGCCCCATCACTGGTATGGGCTGTGACTTTGGCTTGTAGCTTCTTCTTGTCTTGGCTTTATTAGTAGAAAGTCACCTGCCTTGCTATTTCATAGGCTTTCTCTGAGGATGAGAAGACATATTGTACCTGAAGATATTTTGATATTAATAAAACACTATATAAATGAAAGATGTCATTATTTAATACATTTCTTTACCAAAATCAATACTTGGATTCTCCTATAAAGTTCTTCCTGAGACCTATGAAAACTTATTGAATTTGAGGCAGAATTTAATCTTTCAACAAATTTATTCAAGTTTGAAAGTACTTACATACTGATAAAATTTAGTGTCAAAAATTGTTTAAACCGCTAAATTTGAAAAAATAAACCCTGTTTCCTTTCTTAGTGACAACTTACAAAACTTGCGTTTTGGGGGATGAGGATGACATATCAGAGGTATCCATATAGATTTGTAAATAGTGGGGAATCAATAATTTTGTTTTAAGCGAGCAGTGTCATAAACTGTAAAACTCATGTTTTAGAGCCTGAATTCTGAGCTAAGGGGCCAGCTTAGACTGCTACTACAGAAAGTAGGGCAGCCTGTGGACGGGCAGCTTGTGGAAGATTTGACCAGAAACTTGTAACTGTATATAAAGACATTTCTGGTCTGTGCACTCTATCCTCCTAAGGCAGAGACATACCCGCTGGTTTCCCCTCATGTGCTCTGACGTAATTTCCCTTATCACACAGCCTGACAGAGCAGGTCCTTGCATTGTATTCCAGGTCGTTAGCTAGCAGCACTGATCAGACATGGCCTTATAGGACCTCTTTCACTTGGGGGAACTACTGTTCTAATTTTGCTTAGTGATAATGTCATGTATCAAATATTGATTGTTCTTATCATTCTGATAAGCTTTATTTAGTATTGTACTTAAAGCTACCATATTAATAGTACTGAAAAATTGTTAAAATAGATCTGTTGGCAGCAATTTTGTCTACAACAATGAGTTGAGAGAGGCAGGGCTGCTAGATTAGACGTGAGCCAGACAATGAGCAGTGTGTCTGCAGTCACGGATGCCTGTAGGGAAGCGCAGATGTGATGTGCAGAGGAAGATATCCTTTGCAGGGCTGACTTGGAGCAGTGGCACCTGACTTCAGCATCGGGTTCGTTTGCAGGGCGTGGTAAAGCGCGGGCAGCTGGGCACTTTCCCAGAATTTCTGATTCGGCCACTTTGAAAATCACCGACTTAGCAGAAATGTGGAACCAAATCTAAAACTTACTGGGGGATAAAAGTTCCATTATTTGAAATCTATACCAGAGTAAATCTTTCTAGAGCATGGTCTTTCGAGTCAGGTAAATTCTAAGATCAGAGGTTTTATTTCTAACACTTACCAGCTCTGTGAACTTGAATAAAATATATCTAACCTGAGCCTTGGTTTTCTTATCTTTTTAGTGGGGAAGGAAATACTTAGCTATCAGGGTTTTCAGAGGGCCACGTGAGATAACCAACGTGAAAGTGCCTGAGTAGCTCCATATCTGAATAGTAGTATTTTTTAAAATAACAACTTTATTAATATAAAACTCAGGAATGCACTTAAAAAAATGAAAAGAATAAAATCTTGTGAGGATAAGAAGTTAGGCTATTAAAATGTGAAAAAAGAAAACATTTCTTTCTTAGATTAACTGAAAGCATTCCTTTTGAATTTTATTTTTAAGATTTGTTTTAAATCATGTTGTTTCCTTTTAGCAGCATGACCAACATTAATAAGACAAACAGGAAAAAAAAATGGAGATGATCTATTTGTTTGCATAGTCAGTAAAAGGCATAATGTAACTTATCAATTATCAAAATTTATGTTGTGGTTTCTGAATTCTATCTTTACATACACATATTTTTAGGTCTGACTATACTGTTGTGTGTGTGTGTGTGTAAAATATATAATCACAGACATACACATTCAAGTAACCATGAAGCTTCAGTTTTTAAATTTTTTATCAGTTTTAACACTGAAAATATTTGAATATCCAGATAGTTGACTACATCTGTGTAAAATTATTCAGAAAAATACTTTTGACAAAACTAATATTAAAAATGAAGCCATTTAATTTTTATGGAACAGATATTCAAATATATGAAGATATTTTTGTCCATTTCACACACTGTCTATATACACAACAACATGGATGAATCTCAAAAGCATAAGTGAAAGAAGTCAAAAACAAAGATTACACACTTTTTGCTTCCATTTATATGAAATTCTAGAAAAGGCAAAAAGATAATGGCAGAACCTGGCTGCCCGTGGCTAAGGTGGGGGAGGGAGAGCTGACTAAAGAACAGGGAGGAACCTTTCACGGGGACAGAAGTTCTATATCTTGAATGTTGTGGTGGTTGCACAAGTGTGTAGAGTTTCCAAAATTCATCAAACTGTGCATTCAAAATGGGTGAATTTTATTGCATGTAAATTGTAGCTCTATAAAACTGGAAAAAAATCAATTTCTACAAGGAGATAAAATACTCCCTTCCAAAGGTAAATGTCATGTACAAATGGCGACGTAAACATTTGGAAACCCAACTGAGTTTAAGATGACAAGTAATAATTCAGCCGTCTAACCGTAATATTAAAACATCTGTGTATCTGGCCTAACACAAGGGGAAGCATCCTCGGAGCAGAGCTTTCTGAAGCAAACTTCATTCGCCCTGTGTCAGAGAGATGTGATCAGTGAGACAAAGCTCTGGGACCCAGTGGGAGTTCGCTGGAGGGCTCAGTGTACATGCTTTTCCAGTTACCTCTTGACTTTAAATAGATAAGGACAAGGACAGCATTTGTCATTTTTATTATTGTTTCCAGATTGGTTTTGCAAATGGGACTAAGAGAAAATGAACAGACTACATTCTATGTAATTCTATGTACATTACATAGAATTCTCCCTGGTTATTTCTAAAGAGCCGAGGAGAGGGAATGTATTCCCTTTAGGAAGGGACGTGGTTGAAATGGCTGTTTTATGTGAAGCCAGAATCCAAGGGCCCCGAATAATTTATCGTGCAGGATACAGCATGAATATCTGGCATTTTAAAGCTTCCACTGGCCTTTATTTTAATACTGGTTCTTACAGAAACAGGTTTTATGGAAAAAAATTGCATACCTGTTTAAGAAAAGGTGCAAATGATTTCTCCTGGGTATGAATAAAATACCTTTCTTAGCACAAAGTTTCATTTCTGTCTAGGAATTCTGCTTGCTAACCATCCTTGACACTCACTTTTAGAAAACAGTCACCTCTGCAACAAATAGTTTAGAAATAAACTATAGTAAGAAGATGGAAGGGAGAGGCTATTTTTCTGGAAGGGATTTATTGTAAAGAGTTACAGTTACCTATATATGTGCATCTTGATTTTTGATGAAAATCTGTCAGTCACTCTCTAAACACATGATTAGTTTTGATTTTAGAAATGTTAATAACAACACAGTTCAATTAAGATCTTTGGGGGGAAAATAACATTTGCCACCAAATTAACGGATGGATATTCAAACTGTGTGACATCTATTTTCATCCTTTTCACTTTAAAAAACACTTTGCATTTAAGCACATTACTGAGCTAAACAAAGATTATGCAAGAGAATAAAATGTGTTATTCATTCATCAGTATTTATAGGGAGTTTGAGAACTCATTGTTTAGTTATCAGGCGTTACACTGTGTGGTTAGCTGTAACATAAAAAGTTCTCACCAGTCTTCTGGGGTCCTATCACCAAGAACTTTGGTAAGCGCTCACAGGTTTTTTCTTTGGACCAAATGTCTCTGTGGCGTTTGTCATCACAAGGATTCTGAATGGAAGAACAGAGAGATGGCATTTTTGTTGCATGTGTATTGCATGCTAGGATTTTTCAACTTCTGTACTTAAAAAGGAGCTCCAGGAAACAAGGCTATTGGCTCTTTTATTTTTTATTTTCTTTTTATTTATTTATTTTTATTTTTTATTTTTTTTAGCTGAGCCATCCTGCTACCTGTTGGCAGCTCAGCGGCTGCTCAGCTCGGGCTGGACTCAAACTGCTGTTGCTCAGAGCTCAAACTCTTGAGCGAGCTCTTAACCAACTGAGCCACTCAGCCAGCCCTTCTTTTTATTTTTTTAATTTGAGCCATCCTGCCACCTGTTGGCAGCTCAGCAGCTGCTCAGTTTGGGCTGGGAATTGAACTGCTGTTGCTCAGAGCTCACACTCTTGAGCAAGCTCTTAACCAACTGAGCCACTCAGCCGGCCCTTGGCTCTTTCTTTTAAATGAAAGTCTTAAAGTGGCATCATGGAAGCTTTCCGATAACTCCTTTCCTTTCAGGACTACTTTCTCAGTAGTCCTGAAATTGAGACTACTGAGAAGGTGGTGGTGGGGGAGACATTTCTATGCTAAACAGCCTCATAGCGCTGAGTTTCATATTCCTCCTGCTGTTGGCGGTTCTGTGCCGTGTGTGTGTGTGTGTGTGTGTGTGTGTGTGTGTGTGTGTGTACAGTGAGCTGGTTGGGCAGAGACTGCGCTAACCTAAAAGGAGACCCATTTGCAGCATTCAGTAAGTCACTGAAATATATAAGGTGTCAGGTTTTCATTCTAAGTAGCTTTGAGCTTTCCTGCTGTGTTTAAAGGAACATGGATCAGCCCATAATTAATGCTATTCAAAGAGATAGCAGATTTCTTTCAGTTGCCTTCAAAGGTCGATAGATGTGTATCTAAAATTATAACTGTACAGACTCGGATGCTGAAAAGCACTGAATTTCAGCAAAAGGGTAAAATGAGGGGGAATTGCTGCCATGGAGATGTGCTTGGGGTCTCAGTACTTACAGCAAAGCCACTGTGCAAGGTGTCTAGAACACCCTTAATCTCCACTGCAAAGTGCACGTTGCGTGAAGGGCTAGCTGCATCCTTTGATACCATTTCAGGAGTGGACGAGCAGGATGCACTTTGTCCTCAGTGACACTGCAGGCATGTGCAGTCAGCAAGCACATTTACAGTAAGCACCAGACGCTAACACTAAAGGGAGGGCATTCTTTCTGGCTGCTGTTCTGGAAAAAAAATTGATTTCAAACCTGTCACCTGAAATAATAATGATTTCAGTTTAAAAATAAGGTGTTAAATTGCAGCAAAATTGCATGTCTTTCCAGTGGCTAATGTTTGGTGATGTTTTGTAGTGGTTAAGATAAAAACGATGTTTGTTACAGCAGCTGTAAAATACTATGCAATGATAATTCCACAGCCACCACCTTTAACCTTCTAAAACATGTTGTTCTGTCTCTTCTTGGGGTTATTTGTGCTCAGGAGGTACGTAGCTCAAGTTCAAAGCTGAATAAATTGAATGGAGTTCAGCGCTCACTGCAACGCCAGCCTGTGAAATTCGCTGAGTTCTGCTTCTGACGATGATCACTGTCCCACCATCTCTGTTGGTGACTCCGTAGCAGCGTTTAGAGCAAGGAGTAAGCGTGCTGCCTCTGGAGCCAGAGGGCCCGAACTCATCCCGCTCTGCTGCACTCCAGCTGTGTGACCTGCCTTAAGTGTCTCAGCCCTTGTGTGGCCCGGTTTCTTCTGTGAAGTGGGGATAATAAGTATGCTGTCACACAGGGTAGCTGTGAGGACTCAATGAGTTAAGAGCCCAGGCTGACACGCAGTACCATGTAATCACTCATTATGACTGTCCCAGATCATGGAGTGAGCGATGTAAGTTCAAAGCACATTTCTGCAGCTCTAGGGCACGTGAGAGTGCATGCATTCAGGTCTGGGTCACACCTACAACAGTTTCAATATGCCATCGTGTGTGATATTTTCTCTGGAGAAGCTCGGCGATCTCACCACTAATCACTGTCCCCTTGCCCAGTCATTCCCAGCTGATGCTTCTGAAAGCAGCACCTGTGTGCCCGTGGTTCAGAAGCAGGTGTCAGTGTGAACTCTTCTCATCTATCCCTCTAATGTCGTTTGGTCACCATAGATACGGGGTGTGTTCAGGGAGGACCAGCTGGCCCCCTGCCCAGCACGCACCCTGGTGACCATCTTCTCACCTTTCAGCTGACTGCAGTCTGCAAATTGATCCCTCACTCCCGACTGAAAATATTACATTTACTGAACCCCCACATGGAGCTTTCAGAACTCCCTGATTTCTACTGGGCATGGGAACAGAATTTCGCCCACCATGAAGCAATAACTAAGATTACAATTCAGGAAGAAATAGTTTCTCAAATCTACTAACATTTCCAAAATGAACATGTTCCCACCCCCTCCCCCTCCTCCCAGATGCCTTTACTTTTCAGATTTGGATTATTTTCTAGAACTCCAAGATATGTTTGTGGGAGTAATAAATTATACCAAGTGCTGAGCCAGTCATACCTGCCAGAGAGGGTCTTTTTGATCAGGAAAGAGCTCGAAGTACTTGTGGGCCAGCTGCACTGGGGGCAGTGTCTGCAGCTTCAGGTGGGTCCAGCTCTGCACGAAGTTGGCCAGGTTCAGGAAGGTGTACGAGCCCAGGCGGTCATTCCCGTAGTTGGACAGGTGGGTCATGAAAATGCTGATCTGAAGAAGGGAAACAGGCTTCAGTTAAACACAAGTGATTGTAATCCTGGGGCAGAGGCATCCCAGCAAGGCCAGCTTTGTCCTAAGTCGTCTTTGCACAGGGCTTCGGTTTATGACATGGTTTTGAATTTTGTGCATGCCCCAAATACTATCACTATGTTAAAGTATCCTGGAGGATGTGTTATTAGCAAGACCCAATGAACATTTTTTCTGAGATTTTAATAACAAAAAATGAGTCCCACTGCCATAGACACATGATGGTGCAAATCAATTGATGCTGAATAACCCATCTAGATGGTCACACATGACGGCCTCATGATACGTGAACTATTCATAGTTGGAGGCAGTGGGATCCCAGGAAGTTGGGACTTGGCGATTTCAATCTAGTTAATTTGGCTTGTGATGCAGCACTCCCGGTTAGGGGTATAAATAATCGATGAATTAGCACCATCAGCATTAACTGGATGTTCTCTGATTTGGACTTACTAGAGGCCATAGCGGCAAGAGACTAGTGACTGAATTTTTACTAAGGTACCTATTAACTATTTTCCATCAAAAACACCTCTCCAGCCCTTTCCGATGTTTATTATCCGTATCCAACACCTCCTTGAAGAAAAGTTTTCAGTGCTTAGCTGGGTAAAATCAACTCTTCCTGTGTGAGCAGCTGACCTACATGTATCCATACATTAAAAAAATCACAGCATTTATTTATAATATATTTGAATTCTGTAGATTTGATTACATTGGTCTGGAATGAAGAATGTGCATGTTTAAAGCCACTGATTTAAGTGAATGCGGGTCATCTTTGTTGGTTAGTGTTGACAAGCAGAAATCATCCTGCATGAGATGTTTAATGGCAAAGAAATCCACTGTGGCATTTATGCTGCTATAAAAAAGTTCATAAAAATAATTCATGTGGTAGCAGTACTTTCTTAAAATATATAATGTCATGTGAACGAATAGTAATAATGGTTATTATAATCATAATAATGAATATAATAGGTTCATTCATTAACAGACTGAGAGACATACTCAAGAAAATTTATTGAGGAAAAGTGGCAGAAATGAGAGAAAGGTTATATTAAGATTTGATATCATGAACGAGAAAAAAATGTAATTACTTACAACTGTGAATAAGAGGAAACAATGATACCCTATATTCTAAAGAAGAAATCCTGCAGGCTTTCACATGAAAAGTTTCAACTGTGATCAAGAATATGTGATTATGTTTCTATTTACTCTGCCTGAACATATATTAAATCTTAGAACTTCACAAACAAAGTACTTCAAGGGTGATTTTAACAGTTACCAACAGACTTATGTGGTCATAAAATTATAAAGACTTTTACTATCTTGGGTATTTCTGAAAACGTGAGACTTAAAATTTAACCTTCTGGTTTATGTTTTATATTAGCTTTATTTCTGTGACTTCCCCCCTCTCCTTATTGCCTCCAAAATTTATTAAAACAGTAGGCTATTGAGAGACTTAAGACAATTATACTTAAATTTAGTTCTTTTTTAATGTCTACTAGAGGCAGTCTTCTGCCATTTGTTTTATATGCCACATTTTTCAATGTAGTTCAAAAATAATAGTGAAATACTTCAAATTGCTTTTCTATTAAAAAAATTAATACAGTGTAAACACACACACACACACACACACACACACACACACCTAGTTAGCCACTAGTTCAAATTTCTTGCTTTATTTTTATGAAAGGTTTATCAATAAATCTATGTGTCTATATTTCCCTTGAATAATATGTGCACCAGACAGAAAATGGGAAACTTCACGAGACCACGTGACTTTGTGATACTAGTACATTTCGCCTCCCTTTGGATTTACTTTTTAACCTCGGAAAACATTTTGTGCTGTGACATTTAAAGCAAAGTGTCACTGTTGTACTTGAATGAGTATGGGAAGTAAAAAATGCCACCCAGGGTGAGTTAGGGGCTGGGTAGTGACATGGTTTGGCTGGAGCTGAGCCTGACTGGCAGGAGTTAAGGTATTAATAATACTTAGAAAGTGTTGCATTTAACCCTGTAAAAGAAAAGCTCCTGAGCCTCTAACCAAGGACCCCCCTGCCCCAGGTGTTCAGTTCTCCGTTTGTGTGTCTACTTTACCTTGATGCAGGGGCACCACAAGCAAAGGGCGGTTTCGTAATGTACTGGACACTGTAAGTGCGACATTTGTTTTGTGCTCCTAAGAAATACAAGGCCACAAAGGAAGTAGCGTTGGTCAGGACATAAAACACTTCAACTTCCTTTTAAACTTTTTTTTTTTTTTTTGGTGAATCACAATATTCTCTCCACAAGTGGAATATTTTATATCTTTTGCTGAACATGTGCTCTCTCCCAGTTTCCTTTATTATATTTTCGTTAGGAACATATGCTCAGCAACCAACAGGACTGGTGAGAGCAGACACATAATGAGAATGTTTAAGTCAAGAAATTAGCCTGATTCCCAAATAGCATCTCCTCCTTCCTCCTGTCCTGGCCTGTGGGATCTATAACGTCACTTTCTTCCTGGGAATCCCTCACCTGACAACAGTGTCTGCGTGGAATAGAAAGAAACAGGGAGAAACTTGAAAAGGTTTCCAGTTCAGGGCAAGCAGATAGTCTTCCCCTAAAGAGGAAGTGTTTGTAATCTAAGAGTGTTTCAGGATTGAGGGCTTTTTGTTTGTCGTTGTTGTTTATTTTATTGTTTTAAAAAGGATGGAGTATATAAAAATAAATTACCTGTATTGTACATGCAGAATCCAATGAGAAGGAAAATGTCAAAAGAAGTTACAGTTGCATTTCTACAACAGTTTTTGCTATAAGTAATCACACTATGAATAATTAGTTATTACCAAAAAAACCCAAAAAAACGAATCGGCTGCTTAAAACTCAAATCACTGGAAATTCTGCTAAAGGCATTAAGTTTATCTGATTAACAGTTGAAAAATATTCTTTTGAACCTTGTAGATACAGATATTTATAACACAATACTTACCAGTGACCTTTTTCTGTAACAGACCAAGGTAAATGCCACATGTCATATCCACTGGTATAGATGAGAAAGGAGACAGACGTCATCCGTAAAAAAATGACACCTGTGGCTAAGAGAAAGCTATGAGAGCTGCACCCCCACTTCCCAGCCTCAGCCAGGGGACCCTCGGAGGCTCAGGTATGGGAGAGGCCTGGGTCAGTGCCAAGGGGAGTGAGGGGCAGAACCGAGTCTGGTGCAGAGCAGCGGGTTGGCGAGGGGAGGGGAGCCAGCTGCGCCATTTGTGACCATGCTGCGCAGTTCAGGCCCACAGGCCTTTCTTCATGATCTCATTTGCCTTCAGTGTCGGGCGGGAGCAGTGAATTTTGTATTTAAGACTAATGCATCTCCCGGTGTTTTTCACCCCATCTACTTCCGACTCCCGGAATCTCATTCTGTCACTTTCTCCCTCTGGTTTCCCGTGTCTAATCCTCTCTACTTGTGCTTCACTCTCCCGCAGCTCAGGCTCCCTCGTGAGCTTTTATCTTTCTGAGCGGCTGTCCTTCCAGCCAAATCCTTCAAAGGAGGAGCTGTGCACAGGGGCTGTCTGTACTCCTTGCTTCTGTTCATTTCTCGGTCCTTTGTGATCTGGCTTTAGTCCCCACACCCCACTGAAAAGTGGTCAGCATGTCACATGACCCGTGTACATGTGGTAGCCTGTCCATAGCTGCACTCGACTACACCTGAGATTTTCTGCTTCCCTGGCAGTTTTGAAACTGTTTTCCCCTAGTTCTCCTTCCCTGATTTCTCCTTCTCTGTGTTCCCCTTAAATAACTGGTGTTTTGTTCTCTCCCTGCCGTCCCCAGGTGGCATCACCATTCTGGTCTCCAACTCTAACTACCACCCATATCTTTCTCCTAAATTTTATACACGGACATCTAGGTGTCCAGTTAACAGCCCCACCTGAATGTTCACAGCTGTCTCACTTTAGACGTGGCTAAATTAAATGCATTCTATGTCCACAATAGAGTGAGCAGGGACCTCACGGATTTCGTCATTGCTAGATCCCGAGCACCCAGCCAACTAGAAAATAACTAGACACAGTGGATGCTCAGAAATAAGTGTTTGAATGAGCGAACCTTTGCACCCAGAGCTGGTCTTCCTTTCGTATTCCCTGTTTTGCCTAAGGTTACTATTATTCACATGGTCATCTAGCCCAAACACTGAGTGTTCCGGACACCTAGGAGAGCCTCACTTCTCACTGAACCAATCTGGTGTTGAGGAAATTGTCTCTTTTACAGATACATCCCCTCTTCTCTGTTCCTTTCTGAACCTGCCTGCTTCAATCCCTCTTTGAGTTTTTTCTGGACCCTCTAAAAGCAGCTAACTGCTCTCCCTCTGCCCAGGGTTGCTGTCTTGACAGGCTGAGACGGGGGGGGGGGGGGGGGGGGGGGGGGGGGGGGGGGGGCTGTGTGGCTCTTCCCCAGTGGGTGGTGACTGGGATCTGATCCCTTAGTGTTTGGAACATGGAAGTGAGGGAGGAAAGGGGTGCAGGGAGTTATGACCTGACTGATGCTGTCAGAAGGTGGCACATGTTTAAGCCCTCTGGGGTCTTCGGAGAACCCTCCCGGGCCCCCTGATGCTATCTCCATTACCAGCGAGTGCGCGCCCTGGTCCTTTGGCAGCAGCCTGCGAGCATGGTCCCTTTAAAAAGTTCAGGATAACGTGCCCCTAAGAATCTCACACCTGAGCCTGGGACTGGGGGCCTTTGAGCTGACTTTGAAAAAGAGGGTGCGGGCCTGCCGAGTGGCGCGATGGTTAAGAACTCGCTTGGGATGCCAGAGGGCCCCGGTTCGGATCCCACATATGAGGGCCAGTGACACTGCCTTCTACAGCTAAGATGCTGAACAACAGCTCAACCTGGAGCTGGGCTGCCCTGAGTCGCTGGCGACGGCGTAGGCTGCAGTCCCTGTGGCAGTGGGTTGCCATGGGCTACCGTGTGTAGCCAGCAGCCAGCGTGAGCGGCCAGCAG